CACTCACCTCAGCCTCCCAAAGGCGCGGGATGACAGACTGAGCCACCGTGCCCAGCTCTCTTCTCTTCTTAATCATGGGTATTAGTCATGGAATTAGGGGCCCAACCTACTCCAGAATGACCTGACTCTAACTTACTTCTTAATTACATCTGCAAAGACCTTATTTCCAAATAAAGTCACCTTTGCAGGTACCAGGTATTGGGACTTATTCAACCATCCTAGCCCAAGCCATCATGATTTCTTGCCTGGGTTATTGCAATAAATCCCTGTTAGTCTCCCGCTTCCCCTCTTGGCCCTCTGAAGACTAAACTTGGCACAGACTCCAAAGTGATCCCTTTGAAGGTGGGTCAGATCACCTTCTCAGTCCAGAACCTTCTAGAACTTCTCTTCTCACTCAGACCAAATGCAATTCTGTCCCAACGCCTGGTGCCCAGTAAGCACTTGCAGGCGGTACCCTCCCAGCCCTACCTTTGTAATTTCATCTCCTCCTCCTTTCTCCATGGAGCACCGTGCTGCAGGCAGCCCGGCCCGATGCCCCTCAAACACACCTGAGGGATTTTGCTTTTTGATTCTCCTCTCTCAAATATTCTTCTCCAGGAATCTTATGTTGCTCCTACTCTGTCTTTCAGTGAAACCTTCCCCAGCTGAAGCCTGTATTGTTGGTGCAAGATCTGAAGTTGAAGGATTTCAAACTAAATGACCAGGGTTCAGATCTAGGTTTGCCATTGACAGTCAAAAGTTGAGCAAGCTGCATCACCTCTCAGTTTCCTCACTTATGAAACAGGGATACTCATAGTGACTTAGTCTTAGAGTGTTATTAAAAATTGAAACAGGTCGGGTGTGGTGGCTCATGCCTGTAACCCCAGCACTTTGGGAGGCCAAGGTGAAAGGATTGCTTGAACCCAGAAGGTCCAGACCAGCTTGAACAACCAGCGCAACCTCATCTCTACAAAAAAATAAAAATAAAACATTGGCTGGATGTGGTGGCATGTGCCTGGAGACTGAGGTGAAAGGATTCCCTGAGCCCAGGAGGCTGAGGCTTTGGTGAGCACTGATTATGCCACTGTGCTCCAGCCTGGGTGACAGAGTGAGACCCTGACACACACTCACACACAAAAATGGAAATAAATTAATACCTAGAAGAGTCTTTCACACAGTGTAAGTACCTGGTAAATATCAGTGATGGTTATTATAGACTGCAGCACACCACTCTCCAGTAGTACCTTATGTTGGTTACTTTATTGGACGTCACGGTATTTGTCACCATCTAATATCCCTTATGCTTTGTTTATTTTTTCCCCACCCACTAGAGAACCAGAACGTAATAGACACTCCATCAATACTACTGGCATAAATGCTAAGTGTCTAGACTTTTCCATATAATTTAGCTATAGTGATAATAGTGATAATTATCTTGTCCTGGTTGCTGACGTTTATTAGATTAAGAAGTCTTCTATATTCTCAGTTTGCTGAAAGTGTTAGCCATAAATAAATATTAAATTGTACATTTTTTCTGGATCTACTGAGGTGATCATATTTTCTTCTTATTATTTTATTATGATCAGTTATAAATTTTATTAATATAGATACAAACTTGTATTTATAAATCAGATCCAACCTGGTTATCATACATTATATTTTTATATATTGCTGGATTGAATATGCTAATGTTTTGTTTAAGATATTTGCACTTGCCAGGCTTGGTGGCTCAGCCTGTAACCCCAGTGCTTTGGGAGGCCAAGGTGAGTGGATTGCCTGGGTCCACAGGTTCGAGACCTACCTGGGGAACTTGGTGAGACCTCACCTCTACAATAAATCAAAAATTACCCAGGCGTGGTAGCACGCGCCTGTAGTTCCAGCTACTTGGAAGGCTGAGGTGGAAGGATCACCAGAGCCCAGCAGGTCAAGGCTGCAGTGGCTGGGAGCGGTCACTGCACTCCAGTCTGAGTGACAGAGTGAGACTCCAACTCAAAAAAAAAAACCAAAAGATATTTGCACTGAAGTTCATGAGTAAGATGTGCTTATAATTTTTATTTCTAGTGCTGCCCTCAGAATGTTTGGGGGTCAAGATTATAAAAAAAAGAAAATGAATTTAAGTTGGGAGTATTCTCGAGTTAACCTTCTATATTTTTATTTGAAAATACTGCTGATATTTTATTCTACTTTTTTGTTTCTAGATAAGTGATTTTGTGGCCTTTTTGATCTGTTTTCTTTTTAATCTTCATCTTTTAGCTTCAGAATTACTGCTCTTATCTTTAATTGCTTTTGTCTACATACTTTGGCTTGCTTTGGCTTAGGGTTTTTTTTGTTTGTTTGCTTTGTTTTTATATTGCTTTTGCTTTGTCTTTTTTTTCCCTTGCTATTGATGCTAAGTGCACCATTTTCAGTCATTATTTTTTTTCCAATATAACCGTTTAAGTTTATAAATTCTGTGTAAGAACTGATTTTACTACATCCCAAGGTTTCTTGTGAATTATTTTATTACCATCTAGTTTTAGACATTTTCTAATTTCCATGTGTTTTCACCTTAAGCCATAAATTATTTAGACATAATTTCTTTCCACTTTAATTTCCAAGGGCATATTTTCCTTACATTTTAAGTACTGATCCCTATTGCTAAAGAATGTTGTAAGGAGACTATAACTGGTATGAATCCATCTATCCAAAAATGGTTGAATCTTGCTTTATGACTTGGCATGTGGTCAGTTTCCACAAGGTCTGTATGTTCGTTGGATTCATGTTACTGTGCTACCTTTGACTCTTGTACCATAAGGTGCTAACATTTGAAGTATGTAAGGAGTTTCACTGCACTTTCCCCTCTAGATTTTTAAGTCTGAAATTATTTCAAAATGAAAACTCAACAGGTTTTAAAAACATGTGTAGCGATGAACTCAACACAAAAGCATTTCCTCTCTTCTCTCAAATCTATAATCCTACCTGTCTGTTCTCTCATCATCACCATCTAATCTCATGATGAGGATTCAGAGCCAGATGAATTCTCCTCTGCACCTTCTCATCACTGGAGAGTGGGGACCAGGTTCTCAAAGTGATGAAAGATTGATGAAACCCGAGTTGCTCTCAGTGACGCCATCCATGGTCATTACCAGACAACTGTACTAAGGGGATTGTGCTATATTATAATCAGTCCCTAAAGAGAAGGATGTTTTTGGCCTGCTATTAGCTTTTCTTAATATCATATATACAAACACATACTTAATAGTATACAAAAAAATCTCACAAAGTATATTAACCTACAACAAATCCAACTTCAAAGGTAATAACATAACCAATGTCTCCTAAATAACTTAAATTAATATAGATCAAAGATAGATATAGATGTGAACAGATCCTTTTTAAAATATAGAAAATATTCATGTTTCCAAATGCTTTATTGCATATCCTAATGTATATTAATTTATAACACTTCACCTGATTTTAAAATACCATTGAATTACATAGAGAGAAATCAAAAGGTCAGTGATGCGAAACGAACTCAGTTAAGGAGGCAAAAGGGTCTGAATGTTTTTATTTGGCAATCCAATGAGCAGCAACACAAAAAGTCACTAACTGTCCCTCAAGTATCAAAACTCTGAGTCCATTTATCACTTCTTTTTTTAATGTTAATGTTGTAAAACAAAATAAATTGCAAAGTATATTTTATCTGAACCAAAATGTAAAAAAGATAGGAGCCAGATATCTAAACAAAGTTTGGTTTATACCTAAAATTTAAATCGTTTTCTTGGTTTAGAAAAGTATATCTTAAAAAATATCTCAATATAGATGAAGACGTTAATGTAGACTGGAGTCTAGTTTTCCCTCTACTGTTTAATGAAGTAAATTGTTGTAGAACACAGACTGTTTAATAAACTAAACTGTTTAATCTAAGGACTCAAGGAGACAAGCCAAACAAGGAAAATGAATGCTGCAAAAGATAAGAATTACAGCATTCTCAAGTATGATTCTTTATCAAATAAAAATTAGGATGATGTCTTCTGGGATAACATAGTATCTACCAGGAACACATGGCATATAACATACTTCAGGAAGCCAAGGATTTAATTAAACCTCAACTTCTAGAAAGCTAATAACAGGAATATTTTTTAAAGCTTGGGATATGTGAACTACAATAGCAGCAGTCTAAAACAGAAGAACAGGATATAAAGGGAAATTATATTATGGTATCATAAGTGTATTCATTAACTTCTGTTGGAGATTTTGTTTTTTATACAAGAACAATTATAGTTTTTTTAATTAATGCTCTATGCATTAATTAGAATCGCCCTACATTAAAACTTTCTGAGCTAACTTAAGTTCGCCACTACAAAAATACACACAAACCATAGACAAATGAGGAAATCCTTTCCTACTATGAGATATGTCTGGGTAATATATATTATCAGAAGTAAAAATTGCACTTAAAATAACCAAAAATACTTAAATAGTACATGTATCCTATTTTTAATACAATTGTTAAATATAAACTTTTGGTTACTTTTTTCATACATCTAATACAAGATTTCTAGAATTTTTAACTTTCTATTATGTCAGTTGTAAAGGAGAGGGGTATATTTAACATAAAAATAGAAGATAAATCCCAAAATTTTTTATACATCTTAACGTCTTCCAGATATGGACACTTTTAACATAGTCAATTATGGAATACCACTTTTGAAGAAATCCTTTCAGCTCCTTTGAATTGTGTGCTTTCTCCAAGACAAAAAGCTATGGTTAAATTGTCCAACATGAAATTATAGTGAAATGTCCTTCCAATTCTATCTTTCCTTAAATGGGCTCTAATTCTTGTAATTCACATGACACTCTTTGGCTGTGGCTGTCTGTTAAATTTCCTGTTTTGGTCTGGTTTCAGCAAACCAAACAAGTAGCTCACAGAAAAGGATATGGTAATTTTTTTTGGGGGGGGGGGTATCTTCAGTTAAATTATTTCCCTTAGAGGCACAGTGAGAAAGAGGAAAATAGCTCCAGACATGGTATAAGTAGGTCACAGCAGTTTCAATGCACCAAAAAAGGTGACGTCTCCATCCTGTGATATTTGTGCATTTTCTCTTGGTATTGCAAGTTGAAGTTCATCTCCCTCTTCCAGTTTTGCAATGCCTGAGAAAGAACAAGTGACAAGAACTTTAAGTGACTGTGCAACAGAAAAGAAAAAAGGAAGGGACATCAAATAAAGCTATTTTGTTCTGGAAAAAAATATTCACATAAGCATTCACACGTCAAAATACACCCCAGGACATCTAAACCAATTGCAAATCTATCCACCTAAAAAAGTTTGAAGAAATATGCACGAGTTACAGCACATGTATTTATGACCAACTGTTTATAAAACTAAGACTCTAAAAAAAATACAAATATTCAACTTCTAAAAACAGTTAGATGAATCATAGCACATCCCTTGATGGAATATTATGCAAAGGTGAGTTTTGCTTAATTTTATGGACAAGGGAAAAGTTTTTATAGCAATGCTAAATAAAAATGCAAAAATGCATAGAATGTTAAATTAAAATGCAAAAAATGCATGTGTATATCCAGTAATATACTGAATAGTCCTAATTATATTATTAAATGTGCATATAAATTATAAATATTTAAAAATTTCTAAAAATTAAAAATGCACAATTTATGTTTATAATTATAATATTTATAAAATTATAAATACTAAAAAGTTAAAAACATAACATAATTTATTAACATAGCACATTCCTTGACATAGTTTTTCTCTAAATCTAGACTATAGTTTTAGGCATTATTTAGATTACTTTTTACAGCCTTCTATCTTTTGCTTCCTTAGAGGACCATGTTTTTCCTTATAATCAAAAGCAACAATATTATTATCTGTTTAAAAACGACCCATGCATTTGTGCGTGTACTAATGTACAATGGTGAACGCATCTGTGAATTGCAGGCTGAGCCACTGCGGGATTACAGGCTGAGCCACCGAGCCCGGCTCACATGTATGTTAATGTCTGCTCCATCCTAAAGTCCAAAGTACCCAGATTTACACAGGCAGCAGAAAGTCAGCATTTATTTACTGACCCTTTACTATGTGCCAGACACTGTCCTAGACAAACGAAGAGCAGTGATCAAGTATTACTGAATACAAAATACATTTAGAGATTATGCTCAGTATATTGGGTAATTCTTGACCCCATAAAAAAACACAAAATAGAAGAAAGAGGAAGAGGAAAGGGTAGGACAAGAAATAGAGAAACATAGACGGTAATTCCCATCTGAATGGTCGATACTTATGACTAATAATTCATAAAGTAGCTGCATTACTTCATTAACATACAGTGAACATTTACTTGCATAAACACATGTATGTTTTTTGTTTGTTTGTTTTGAGTTAGAGTCTCACTCTGTCACCCAGACTGGAGTGCAGTGGCCGCTCCTGGCCACCGCAGCCTCGACCTGCTGGGCTCTGGCAATCCTTCCGCCTCAGCCTTCCGAGTAGCCGGAATTACAGGCGCGCCCTACCACGCCCGGCTAATTTTTTGATTTATTGTAGAGATGAGGTCTCGCCTGCCCAGGCGGGTCTCAAACTCACGGGCTCAGGTAATCCACTCACCTCAGCCTCCTAAAGGCGCGGGATTACAGGCTGAGCCACCGATCCTGGCTCACCTGTATGTTAATGTCTGCTCCATCCTAAAGTCCAAAGTACCCAGATTTACATAGGCAGCAGAAAGTCAGCATTTATTTACTGACCCTTTACTATGTGCCAGACACTGTCCTAGACAAACGAAGAGCAGTGATCAAGAATGACAAAAGTTCCCTTGCCAGTGTTTTGTTTTTGTAATAGGAAAAGACAGACAACAAACAAAAGAATACAGTTTTATGAACTGCTAAGGGTAATATGTACTTTCCAGAACTGGCAAAGCATTTGAGGACTTCCTTATGTGGTTAAAAATAAAATTGGGGTTGAGTAGATTTATTTGTTGAATATATTTGTCATTATTATAGAGATTGGAACAATCTACTATTTTGACAAAAACCTATGGATCACAGACCATTAATATTAACTCTAAGCCAGGCTCGGTGGCTCAGCCTGTAATCCCGTGCCTTTGGGAGGCTGAGGTGAGTGGATTGCCTGAGCCTGCGGGTTCGAGACCCACCTGGGCAGCGAGACCTCATCTCTACAATAAATTAAAAACTCAGCCGGGCGTGGTAGTGCAAGCCTGTAATTCCGGCTACTTGGAAGGCTGAGGCGGAAGGATCGCTGGAGCCCAGCAGGTCGAGGCTGCGGTGGCCGGGAGCGGCCACTGCACTCCAGTCTGGGTGACAGAGTGAGACTCCAACTAAAAAAAAAATATATATATATATATAAACTCTAAAAATTAAGGTATGAACAACTATAGGATGTATTTACAATTTCAACATGTCATTTTACAATATCAAGCTATTATTCATGAGAAATATCTTAAAATCAAGTTAATTATTCTTAAAAAGTAAAACACCTAGGAATTCTTACAGGGTCTTAATAGGAAGTAAATGTGAGAGTAGCAGATGATTAGAAAAAATTTTTAAAGAGTTAGTTGCACATGAATACAAGTAAATTACAGACTGGAATATTCTCACCATTTAAAATATTTTGCAACACCAAATTACTAATCAGTATTCAGTGTAAGGAAACATTTCTTTATGAAAATTAGAAAATTCCAATCATAAAAACTTCCTCATCAACCCGTCATTTGTGGTTGTGGATCCAGAATTACATCATCTCCGTTATTATGAACTGTTTTCCTTAATTTCTGACTGATTTACAGGGCATTTGTTTATAAACACCTTTGCAATATTGCACTTCAAAATTGAGACCAAGGCTCCAATCTTGTGTTTCACACTGTCACCTATGGTAACTGTCTGGAACTGAAGGCCTTCCTTGGGGTTTTGAATAGATTTTTAACAAAAATGGAGAAAAATAAGTGTCTGCAAAATGGCTACATACTTTTAAAACTAGCCTTGATAAATTTGAATTAGTGCCCCCCCCCACAATAAAATGAATAAAATGGCAATTATAACTGAAACAGACCTGAAATTAACAAGGTCCATCCAGCCCTATGCCTCTCACTGCTCCTGAGTTCAAAGGCAGGGTCTGGTCTACACTTTCACATCCCAAAGTCACCTCGCTGGTGTCCATTTACACCAGATGTCATCTGTATGAAAGTGAAAGGGAAGCCATTGTGTAACTTGCACTTGCCCTCAGACCTGGCAAGAGACACTTCTTCCATCGCATGCAAAGAATAATTTCAGTGGCTCTCACTGCAAAGTCAGACTGGTTGACTTAAATCAATTTATGAAACTCCATAGCTGTGCCTAACTGTGTCTCAGATTCCAACTCCCTTAAATGTGAAGATTAAATGAGCAAGCACACATAAAATGCAGAAAAGAGAATCTGGTAAGTGGCAATGACCCTGTGACAGTTAGATATTTTTGTTGTTATTAAAGGTCAAAGAAAATACATTAGCATTGTTCTCAGAATGCTATAAAATGACTACCTTCTTAAACATATATGAAAATGATAAAACAGTTATGATTCCATCTGTCTCAATTAAAACAGACTAGCTCATCATTCAAGATTTAAAAACATATAGTATAGTAAAGAATGTCTTTTGTCTACTTCTATTTTAGGGTGCTGTCCTTTCTTTTTTATTATATAGCTCAATTTCTTAATCAAACGATCTTCATTTTACACTTAGCAGGTCTGAGACCTATTATTTACCAGCTGAATAGCAGGAGTTATTGGGTAGTGTTTTAGGCATATTTTGAATACATCGGAACAAAGTCACCAGACTCAATTCGTCCCCAAAGACATGAACTTTTTTCCTCTGTATTAGATGTCCCATGGCATACGTGCTATCGGTATATAAAACCTGAAAAACAAACCAGAAAACTGTGTCAGAAGTGATCACAAAATAGGAGGTTTTGGGGTGGTAAAAGCAGAATTAGGGTTTGTACCTACCTGACCATATATAAAAAAGTAACCAGTTTCTTTGACCAATATTTTATTTTCTTTTTCTTCCAGGGCTCTTCCTCTTTTGAAGCTGAGAAGCCACGGAACAAATGTGTAAGATCCTACAATACAGAGAATTATTTATAAGAAAAGAAACCAAGTAGTACAGTTTTCCCTCCACTGAGTTGCTAAACTACCTCTGAAACTTAGGAGAGAATTCCATCTTCAAAAAAAAAAAAAAGAGAGAGAGCGAAGGAAAAGACAAATCACAATACTCAGTTGGATTCTTTGCCTTCACTTAGATATGAACCCAGACAACTACTGGATCTAGGAAGTTGAGAGCTAACATTTTATGTGAACGTCTGAGTTTTCTTTGATTGTCCTGTATTTCAGCTATTTCATAATAAAGGCTAGTACGAATGGGCAAGATTGAAGCAGAGAATGGACACTGTTTCTCTGGATAACACACTGGTAGAGATTTTGCTTTAGTTCCCAGAGAAGAAGGAGTCAGTACATGAAGAGTTTAGCAAAGGGCATCCGGCAGAAGTAAGTCCTCACTCCCAAACCTGGTGACAGAACAGAGTTAAGTAAGAAAAAGGAAGACTAAGACATAACCTTTACCGCGAAATCGTCATGGGACTTTGAAACAACTGAGTCTGTGATATTCAAGTTTGGGTGGTTTCTGTTCCACTCACTGATAATTCTCCTCCATGGTCCCTCAAGCATCACTTGGGGAGTGACAGCGAAGCCACTTGCTCAAGGGTGGCATGAAGGGACAGAAAGAAGACATCCGCCACTGAGTATATCAGATGGGACCAAATTGCTGACCCAGAACTTAAGTGGTTAAAAAAGGGGGATTTAATTGTTGAATCAATTTGTCATCATCATAGAGATTGAAAATGTCCTTGTAGATACTAACATCACAAAGACACCAAACATTCCTGTAAATTCCCCGGATTGCTCACAGGTGTGCTATGCAAATATAAAATTAAAGGGTGAACCCTAAGGCTACAGACTAAAAAATTTGGGGAGTATAAATAAGATGGTGCAAAATTAGCAAATAGAAGATTAGAAAAATGGTGACATATAGCTAGAATAATAAAATAAATCTATGATAATTGGTCTAAAATCGTATTTTAAATGTCCATGTATGGTTAGTAATGGTGGACCACACGCATCTCCAAATTCTTTCCTGGTCATAGTCAAAAAGGAAAATAAAATTGGTAATAAAATTCAGAATCCATGAAAGTCAATATGCTCAAAGTTCCAGAAAAGAACTTTTCCTAGAATTGAGATTAAAGAGAAATTTCTTCTGTTAATTTCCATAAGAAAGCACACTATGAAGTGGTAGGCTACAATGCTTTCACATGCCATAAATACGATTGCCAAGTATATGTAATGACCCTGATTTATATAGTGTTTCCAAGGCAAACTGATTAAACTTTTTCCAAATGAAATTCTTTTTAATTCAATTGCTTTTAATTTTTTTATTTTAAAGATGTGGACTATATTTCGGGTTAGGTATACAAATGTTCATTATGAAGATACCCTTGTTGATAAGGTGCACACTCTCCTCTTCCCTGGCAGTTTCCCACTACTGCCAATCCTGCCACCCAATTCAGTTTTTTCATTGGCAGATAAATTTGTATATATTTGTTATGTACAATATGATGCTTGAAAAGTATATACACTATGGAATGACTGAATCAAGCTAATTAGCAGATATACCTCACATAGTTGTCATTTTGCGGTGAAAGCACTTCATAGATACTCTCTTAACATTTTAAAGAATATAATATATTATTATTAACTGTAGTCACCATGCTGTACGAAAGATTTCTTAAACTTATTCCTCCTGTCCAATTGAAATTTTGTAACCTTTGACTAATAACTTCCCAGTCTCCTCCATCACCACCACTCCAGCCCTTGGTAACCACCATTTTTCTCTCTACTTTTTCAAATTCAAATTTTTTTAGATTCCACATATGAGTAAGAATCATGTAGCACTTCTCTTTCTGGGCCTGGCTTATTTCACTTAGTATAATGTTTTCCAGGTTCATCCATATTCAATGACAGAATTTATTCCTTTTTTATAGCTGAATAATATTCCATTTTGTAAACACCACATTTTCCTGAAGCATTCAACTGTCCACGGACACTTAAGTGGATTCCATATCTTGGCTATTATGAATAGTGCTGCAATAAACTTGGGAGTACAGATATCTCATCGATGGTCACAACACTCTGGGTGTACCATATCTCATCTGATCTTGAGAGCTAAACAGTGTCAGGCCTGCTTAGTACTTGAATGAGAGATATTTCTCTGACATACTTTCATTCATTTCCTTTGGATATATACTTAGTTGTTAGATTGATGGATAATATTATATTTTATTTTAAATTTATTGAAGAACTTTCATACTATTTTCCAAAATGACTGTATTAATTGATATTCCCACTCCAAATAAGATGCTTGAGAGGAAAATGTAAAACAAGAACCACATATTTCTGAATATTTCTAAGGAGTTAATAATCCTAGGTGATAAAACAAGGCAAATTACACTGTGCATTCAAAATGAAAAGAAACAGCAGTCCCTTGGTCAGACCTTTACATTCACATTACCATAGACAAGTGAGGAGAGCTGTCAAGGAGACTGGGAAGGAAGGATGGAGGGAAGGAGGAGTGGAGGAGGGTCAATGGCTGGATAAAGAAGCCCCACAAGTCTTCTTCAGCACATGCTTCTGTCTGTGTGTGCCTCTTGGCTACTCCCAGTAGCCAGGTCTTTCACTGTCCCTCAGTGTGAGTGAATGTGCCCTGATATGGGCAGGTCTGGTCATTCTAATCTGCTTTTCCCAAAGAAGGGACTTAAGGAACATTTTCCTTAAATGAAAAACCCTCCAGTGCCATACTGTATAACAATAGTGAACCACAACAAAAAAATTATCTCAATGACAACACAGGCAAAATCACCATCATCTATTTTTCACATGACATAATTTCAGTGCTTATAATAAAATTGTTTCTCATTTTTATTTGAATGAAATGATGTACTCAAAGCACTTTTTAGAGTCTTGAAAAAAGTGAGGAAGAATTAATGTAACAATGAGCAGATAAAGACTTCAGTGACCACATAGGACAAGGAATACTGTCTAGGCAAAAAAGAATGTTTTGGAAAATTTACTAAACAAAAGGATAATTGAAGCCCACAGCAACCAACAACAGAATACCCTGGGGATGGGAGGAAATTTGATTTCCATATTTGTGAAATTATAATATCCAAACTGTCTAATTTTCAATAAAAAAATTAAAGGCATACAAAGAAACAGAATATTATGAACAAATCAATTGACCAAAATAGTGAAGACTGATAAGTAATTATTGCAAATTGTAGGACACAGTTTAATAATAAAAGTCAATCACTTTTCTATATACTAGTAATAAACAAGTAAAATTTGAAATTAAAAAAATAATACTACTTACATTACCACCTCAAAAAATGAAATATGTAAGTATAATCTAACAAAATATGTAAAAGATTTATAGAAGAAAACTCACAAAACTTAACAAATGAAATTAGAGAAGAACTAAATAAAGAAACATTGTGTTCATGGATAAGAAAACTCAGTGCTCTCATAAGTTAGTTCTTCACAACTTTATCTACAGATCCAATGCAATTCCAATGAAAATCAAAGAAATTTATTTTGTAGATATATTTTTTAAAACTCGAGTCTCTAGAATATATAGAGAGGCAAAAGATCCAGGAAATCCAATATAGCACTGAAGGAGAAGAACAAAACTAGAGAACTGATACTACTTTACTTCAAGATTTACTGTAAAGCTAAAATAATAGAGACAGTATGGTATCAAAGAAAGAATGGGCAAATAGATCAAGACAACAGAATAGAGAGCCCAGATATAGACACAAGCATAGTCAACTGATCGTTGACAAAGGTGACGAAGAAAAGATGGTCTTTTAAAAATAGTGCTGGCAAAACTTAACATCCCCATGTAAAAAATGAATCTAGATGCAGACCTTACGCCCATCACAAAAATTGGTTCAAAATAGATCACAGACTTAGGTGTAAAGTGCAAAACTATCAAACTCTTAAAAGTAACGTAGGAGAAAATTCTTATAATCTTGAGTTTGGCAACGACTCTTTCGATGCAATAACAAAGGCACAGTTCATGAAAGAAATAGTTGATAAACTGGACTTCACTAAAATGAAAGATTTCTGCTCTGCAAAAGACAGTGTACAGAGAATGAAAAGATAAGCCACAGACTGGAAGAAAATATTTGTAAAAGACGTACCTGACCAAAGATTACCCTCAAAAATATTTTTTCAAAATTATTACAACTCAATAAGAAAACAACACTAGCTAAAAATGGACCAACATGTTAACAGAAACCTTATCAGATGGTAAATAAGCATATGAAAAGATGCTCCAAATCATATTTCATAGGAAAATGTGAATTAAAACAATAATGAGATCCCACACTTATTAGAATGACCAAATTTCAAAACACTAAGAACGCCAAATCATGGCAAGCAACAGGAACTCTCATTTATTTTTGTGGAAACAAAAAATGGTACATTCACTTTGGAAGACTTTCTTACAAAAACAAACCATACTCTTATCATGCAATATAGCAATCACACTTCTTAATATTTACCTAAAGGAATAAAATATAAAAAAGGTTTTTAGGTTCACACAAAAACCTGAACATGAATGCTTATAGCAGCTTTGTTTAAAATTGTCAGAACTCAGTAGCAACTAACATTTCCTTCATTAGGTGAACAAATAAATTATTGTACGTCCAGACAATGGAATATTATTAGTCACTACAAAAAGAGCTATCAATCTGTGAAAAGACATGGAGAAAAGTTAAATGCAAAATACTTAGTTTAAAAAAAGAGAAAATGGAAAAGTTACAACTGTGCAATCACGACTATATGATACTCTGGAAAGTCAAAACTAAAGGGTCAGTAAAAAACAAAAAAAAATACAAAATTAGTCATTGCCAAGGGTGGAGGGGAAGAAAAGGAATAAATAGGAGGTGCACAGAAGATTATTAGGACACTTGAAATACACTCTACAATACTATCATGGTAGATAAATACC